AATTCAGAAAGTTGTCTGGCTAATAATGTGGCTGTTAAAAACTTTGTTTGGATTGGACCGACAAAGTTGACTATTTAGAATTATTAACCTAATAAGTTAACCACTTGGTTAATAACTAATTCAACTTTATTTGTGCACGGCAAGTACATCGAAATTCTTATAAATAATTTGAGTTTGATAAAAAGATACATACGCACATCATTAAATTAAATAACAGTGTCCTAATGATCTCATATAGGAAGACCATTTGACAAATAAATTTGAATTGTATATAGGTACAAATATAAGGACATTTAATTTGTAGGTTAAGTTGACTTTAAAAAATATTAATTAAGACACGCCGACGTACTTAATTTGCATAGCTCAACCAAATTATAGAGCTCAAAAAGTAAAACGTGATAATCATGTTATTATTTTGGGTAAATTACTTTTGATATCGTTAAGTTTTGTTTGTTAACTCATTTATACTATTTTTTTTTGATTTTGTTAATTATAACACTGAATTTTAGTTCTACATTCAATTATGTTATCGTTAAGTCATAACAAGACGATAACATGAGTAACGGTTGCTGATGATGACTATTAATGTCCAAAATAACGTCATTTTAGGCATTAAATTTTATAGGCAATTTAAACATTTCATTTTTTGGGTATTGAACTTTTCATTATTCCTTCTTCTCCTAAAATTAATTTTGAAGTAAGATCGATATTAAAACGTTCACATTTCCCTATGATTTCTTCTAAAATTGATTTTTTTTATGAAACCTAGCAGGAAACCTACACAGAATAGACTCCCCAACCTCATTTTTCATGTTCAAAGTTTACCCGATGAGATGTAGGGTAAAGGCCAAGGATTGCCATTAATAACCAAGCTAATTCCCATCACTCTACCTTGGCATTTAAGAAACACGCAACACCCTTTTTTAGAACCATTTTGTTGATGAACAAATTAGATATTTGACAAATGATAACTTGTTTCAACGGAAACCATGGGATACTTGAACACTTATGTTGCATGCGGCAACTCAATCATGAAACCAGAAATAAGACTGATTTTTTATTTTTAGGTCCGGAGGTTGGGAAAAATCAGGGAACCCCACTACAAGGGACCAGTTGTGATAGGGAAGGGCGCTTAAAAGTAATGTTGTGGAGTGCAAATTAAGGCAAGTAGGCGAAAAATGTTCTTTCACTGTGCTTCGTCATCAGTCCTCACAGGGTTTTCAGACCCACATTTTGAACTGCCGATGATTTTATAATTGTTCATGAACCACTGTTGAGATTTTCCCGGGAAACTGTACTCTATGTTTGTTGATTGGATTAAATAAGTTCCGATAATTATTGACGGTTTGATGGTGAATAAGTTTTTGTTGGTGTAAATATTTGAGAATAATTACATAAGTGTTTTTAGTCTAAAAACCCGTTTTAAACGCAAAAACAATCTTAAACAATTTATTTTCAGCAAAAAAATTCACATTTAAAAATTCATTATTGGCTAAAAAGAAGTTAGAAAAGCAATACTTTTGTGTTGGAAAAGCTCCGTTGGAGAAGCATTCCCAAACGAAGCAAGGTAGAACAGAGTTGAGCAATGGTGAGGTGAATTTATAGATGTTGCATCCCCTCTCTTAGCCTTGATCAAAAGGTTTATTAGTGGTTTTAGTGTGTGTAAGATGTAGGGTAATAATGACTACACATAGACTAACTGATTAGATGGATATAGTCATACAATAATAGATTTGATTATGGTAGATCATATGAACTTGTCAGAAGTTATATTAATAAATTGTGATGTCGCGGAGATGTTAGATATTCAAGATCGTTCATCTGGAGATTTTTTTTATATCTTTTAGAGTTCCTCGTGTACCGGAAATACTTTTAAATGCTCCGAAGATTATAAGATGCGAAAAATTAACGTACATTTGATGTGGTATAACAATGTTGATAAAACCTTTGCTTTTTTTATCCTTGTTTATGTTTTTCACATGATTAGAATCTAAAGTAGCCACCAGCCAGGGCCCTTGGCTTGGGGGATTTATGCACTACTACCAACATAATAATTCACAAACTGTTATAACTTGCATATTGTGCCCTTTTCACCATTGTTCAGCTTTTGCAGCAAACCATCTTTATTCTTTACATTATTACATAAAGGTTGCCCGCATCTTCCTTTTGGGACCATGCACCAGAAATGCAAAACAAAAGAAAGGAGCATTGAAATCCTCTCACTTTCAAGTTAACAACAGGAGATCGCATTCCTTGTATGCAATTCCATTAGAACAGGACATTTTAAGCACGCGTGCATGGGATTCTAAAATTATGAGCGACTAGATAGATCATCATGTGCCATGCATGGGATTCCTGCAAAAAAGGAGACATCATTGTGGTTTCCAATATGATTGGAAGCTTATCCGTACCGTACACGCATTAACATCCAATGCGAAGAGACGAATGTAAGCTGAGAATTGTGTGGGAAAACACAGTTGCAGCGATGGACATGGGAACTAGTGTGTTTTGGGATTGTAAACAAAGGACGTTGGGATTCCCATTAGAGTAAATAACTAATGAAAGAAAATTTGAATTTCAAACTGAACATATAGTCACCCTCATGTTAATGTAGATCCGCCACTGACCATATAGGTGCAGGGTATGAATGAATAAATGATGCATATTATCAGGCATTGCCAGATTCTTTTTTGTTTCATCGAGGGAATGGGAAATGCATGCCATTGGTGCTGAACCTATTCAAGATAAGGAAATGCATGAGAAAAACCAATTCAAGATTTAGACGTACAACTAATTTTAGATTTCGAGTCTTTAACATATGCAAAATTTTCATATATTGGACCACCGAACAAAAATAAATAAAAGATTTACAAAAAAAAAAGATAAAGAATTAAAAATAAAAATTATATAAAATTCTTTTAAAAAATCGATAAAAATATTAAATTATAATATACTTTTTCAAAATGAAACCTTAAACAAATAAATTGTCAAATCAAGTTTACCATATTAGATCAATGAGTTTGGTTCAAGTGGTAGCCATATTGCTTAAGTATGTCTCGAGTTTGAGTCTTTGTGTATGCATAAAATTTATGTTAGGAGACTCTTCCACTAAGATTAAATGTGTGACATGAATCGGTTTGAATTAGCCAAGATCAAACCTCGAGGATCGAGAAGATAACCACAAAATATTTAGTTTTAAAAGAGTCTTGAAATATTTATGTTTTTAAATTTCATAATGATAAATTTAGTTCTTAATGTTTATGCTTTTCTCAATTTTAATTATCTTTAATTAAATTTAACTCTCAAACTTTTTAAAAAATTAATCCTCAAATCTTTTAAAAGTAAGCAAATAGCTTTTTCTTCGATAGAAATGCTAATTAAAATGTTAATCACTCACGACTCTAACACTGTGGCCTTCGTAATTGTCCATGTATACTTTATTTTATTTATTTATTTTTGACAAAAAGTCAATAATTTTATTAAAAATAGAAAATATTCAGAATTACAATAAATATTTACAAGTACAAGGTAAACGTAAATAAAATTATAATTAGGATATTTTCCTATAACCACTGACATAAAAACTAGTCACCTAGATCACACAAGAACCAAATAAGGAAAATATTAAAAAAAATTAACCAAAAAACTTGAATAAAATAAAGATAAGAACAAATATAACTTTGTTAACAAACAAACCATAAAAAGGGATAAAGCTTCTGAAGGCTACCAACAAATCGTAAATCGGAGTCAAGCGACATGAAAAAACTATCAACGAATACAAAACGCGTATCCAAATCAATCTGAATGTCCAAAGCAGGAAAAATCATTATGATAACAAATAAGCGTCATTTTGATCAGTCGTGGTGATATCAAATCAAATATTGAGAAAAAAAATAAACGAAAATAACGGGAAAAAACAATAAGCTACCAAAAGGCAGATAAAAATATGCAACAAAAGTAGAGATAAACGTGCCACAAAAACATAGATAAACGTGCTACAAAAACAGAGATAAACGTGCTACAAAGGTAGAAATAACCGGCGGGCGACAATTAACATCAAAATTGGTGTCACCGACGGTTAAACAAAATTAAAGAACAAAAAAGTTAGATTGATCAATAAATTGATAAAAATTGAAAAGAATAATAAGAATGAAAGGGAGAAGAGGAGGAAGAAAGCGGTTAGTCTAAATAATTACTTTATTTTATTTTTTGAATTCTTTTAAAAATCATTTGAATTTTTTTATAAAACTTAATTATTTATTGATACATCATCATAAAAATTAAATAACATCATGTCAATATAAAATATACATAAATTATCATGTTAAAATCATTAAAATTTGATGTTTTAGTCAACATCTTTATTGAAAAAAATAATTAGAAAGATTAACCAAATTTAATTAAAAATAAGAATTAAATTACCAAAACGTTTACTCTTTAGGGCTAAATTTGTCCCTATACCTTACAATTTTATTTACTCTATTTTTTTTTTTACATTTTTAATTTAACTTCGATTAAATTTACTTCATTGGTTCAATTCAAATTCACTTTATTATATTTAAAAATTAAATTAAATTAAAATAATAAAATATAACATATCGATCGTATTAACTTAAAATTATTTTTGTTCATTCAGTGTTATGAATCAAACACTGACCCCTAGTCAACGGCTGCAAGTACTTGACCATTTCGAAGAAAAGTAACTTCACAGAGTTATGGGGAGCCGAGATCTAAGGAAGAATATACTAATCATTATGGCGTGGAACTTCAAAGCATTAACATATGATTTCAGAGCCGTATCATCTCAAGAAAAATGTCATCTTTATTGAATAAATCTAAATCAGTTTTCTACTTCAAATTACACTAACCCTATGTGAATCGACACCATATCCTTTGAAATACGTGAAATAGATTTCTTAACTTTAAAATCACAAATTTTGCATTGGTTTATACAAGTAACCTGGCCAATATTCATCCTTAAAGTTTCAGACTTTAAATCCACCAATTTTCCTGCAATGGAGAAATCTGTATTCTCAATGTTGATCTTTATGGTAGAACTGCTTTCATTATCTGGGTGCACGGCTGCCGTAGTACGTTGCAGTAATTGTGGCCGCATTCCGGTACCTTACCCTCTCAGCACGGGGCCAAATTGCGGTCATCAAGCATATAGGATTCGGTGCACTGCGGGGACACTATGGTTGATGCTTTGAAGGGATCTTATATGATCATATCCATCAACCCCATGACTCAGAGGATAGTTCTCCGGCCCCCGGATCTTTTGCGTGATAGTTGCATTTCGAGCGATATCGGCACACAGGGAATCCAGCTTGATGATGATCTCCCCTTCAACATCACTAGCAGTAACACTATTTTGTTGTTGAACTGTACGAATGCAATGTTAAACTTGCAAGCACCCATAAATTGTAAATCAACAAGCTTATGTCATAACTATATAAAGGATAATGCTACGGCATGTATGAGGAGTCCGTTGTGTTGCGTGTTCAAGACTGGTGGATCGCAAACCGCTTATGTATTGAGGATTCATAATGGAGGTTGTCTGGCATATCAGAGCTTTGTGAACATTGACACTGTAAATCCTCCAAAGAAATGGCCTCAACCTGGTTTGGAGATAGAGTGGGCATTGCCACAAGAACCGGTTTGCAAGACTCCAGTGGATTGCGATAACTTGTTCCATTCCAAGTGCTTAGCTTATCCCGCAAATGTTGGAACAAAAAGGTGTTTCTGCAACAAAGGGTTCAAATGGGATCCTTTCAACGGATTATGTCAATGTAAGTAACCATTTACCACTTGAACCAGCAAGAACGACTTTAGAAACAGTTCTTAACGTGGCCATAAGCATTAAGATACAATCTTCTCTTTGTTTAGGTGCAGAATGCCGAACGGGTAAACGCTGCAAAAGCCGAAAGAAGCATACAGTGCTCATTTCTGGTATGCGCCTGAAAAAGCCGAAATCATTACTGTTTACAAGAAGTGACTGTGATGGTGGCCTTATGTTTTTCAGTTATATCGGCTGCACTGGGAGGAACTTCACTTGCTATAATGATCGGAATTCTAGTTTACAAGCAACGCCAGCGCGTAAAGAATGAAATGCAGAAGAGGCTGGTCAAGGAAAGGGAAGAAATGTTAAAAGCTAGAAACAATGGCAGATCAGCCAGTGTTTTCACTGGCAAAGAAATAACGAGAGCAACTGATAACTTCTCTACGGCGAATCTCATAGGATCAGGAGGTTTTGGTGAGGTCTTCAAGGGTGTTCTTGATGACGGAACTATATCAGCCATCAAACGTGCAAAGCTTGGGAACACCAAAGGAACTGATCAAGTCCTTAATGAGGTCCGAATTCTTTGCCAGGTGAACCATAGGTGCCTGGTAAGATTCCTTGGTTGCTGCGTCGAGCTTGAACAGCCACTCATGATATACGAGTTTGTCCCTAACGGAACCTTGTTTGATCACCTCCATTGTAGTCGTTCCGGAAAATATGCTCCCTTCACATGGCAACACCGGCTTCGTATTGCTCACCAGACTGCAGAAGGCCTTGCTTATCTCCACTCTGCAGCAGTTCCGCCCATTTACCATCGAGATGTGAAATCAAGCAACATTTTACTAGATGAAAAGCTTAATGCCAAAGTTTCTGATTTTGGTTTGTCCCGACTAGTAGAGAGAACCGAAGGCGATGCTAGTCACATCTATACCACTGCTCAAGGAACCATTGGATATCTTGATCCAGAATATTATCGTAGTTTTCAGCTTACTGATAAGAGCGACGTTTATAGCTTTGGGGTTGTTCTTCTTGAGCTCTTGACTTCTAAGAAAGCTATAGATTTTAACAGAGAAGATAAGCACGTGAATTTGGTGGCTTACATGAAAAATATAATGGATGAAGAGAGACTGGTGGATGTTGTTGATCCAGTGATCAAAGAAGGAGCAAGAAAGTTGGAACTTGACATCATTAAAGCACGGGGGCTATTGCCAGCATCGTGTTTGGATGACAAGAGACAGCACCGACCTTCGATGAAAGAAGTTGCCGATGAGATTGAATACATGATCAGCATTACTCTAGGAGAGATTTCTGAGAAGTAAATGTTATAATCAATAGTGAAAGTAAAACTAAACCCAGAGCTGATCAAACAATTGATCTTTCTAACTTACATTTGAAGTATAACAGGCAGATTCAACCATATTTTGCATAACATGATAAAATTCAATTACAGTTTTGAAATTCGGGTTCAGTCCCACAACTCTACACTGCAGTAAAGACTACCACGCATGTTTAAGCAGTGAACCACTTGAAGTCATTAGACTGCAAGATTTTAAAGAGCATGTTAACTAAACCATTCCAGAAATGAAGTTTGATCCATGATTTCTTTAGAAGGATCAACTGCCCAGGAAAATAGTGATGTTTCTTAGATGAAATCCAAAATATAAATCACCAACTTCATATCTTTCAAGCATATATATACAAAATATTGATGGCAGGCATAAGCTTGAAGGATCTCAGTGCTTCTCTTGATCAGACATGACAGTACACAACACTACACAAAATTGATGTCTGTTGAAGATGTAAGAAGAGGCAAGTCACATGCCTTTCAATTCAAGCTCTTAGTTAATTAAGATCAAACAGAAAAATCTAAGGAATGTGAAGCAAAAGAAAAAGAAGCATTTACATGTTAAATGGGAGATACTATTTTGTGGACATATGTTATGAGCAAGGGAACCTCGAATCCTTCAGAAAGAGGCTAAGATCCAGAACATGACATGGGATGACATAGCGACCAAAATCCATGTGATGAATGCCAAAATTATTGATATTTCAAATTGATTGCATGGGAGGTGACTTTGAGCCCTGCAGAAGTCCAAGTCTCTTGCATACAGGACTATAACCCCTGCTGATGAACATGCAGCTGCCAATGATAACATAGCTGTAACCTGCATATTCAAGAAAGGTTAGCTAAGTAATATCCAATTTAGACCAAATGAGTTTCAAGGGGAAAAAAGCGCAAAAATTAAGCTGCATGTAGGAAAATCCAATAGAAAAATAATAAGATCGAATTTTGAAGACCCAAATAACAATCGCTAGCACCACTTAAAAAGATTAAAGCGAAATGAATAGAGTTCAAATAAGGATGATGAAGACACTGATCCTCTCTCCATGTAAGATTACCGTCATTCGCAACTGGGGACAGGTCACCATAGAAACAAGCAATACTGGACATGGAAAGGATGTATTTGATAGAATAAGAACCGCTCTAAATGGTCATGTAAACCATATAAGGAATCACAAACAGCCTGAACATGAAAAAACTAATAATAATATGGGGAATAAGTGATAACTAAGGTGGAATATGACAAATACCAAATAGCACTATAGCGGGCAATTTTTGGTAGCGAAAACCCGACTCACAGTAATGTTTATACATCCATTTAGGGACTAAAGGAGACTAGAGGGGATTCTTAGAGAAAAGTTGAATACCCAATCACCTACAACAAATAGGCTCACTAGAACAGGATTCTGAAGATCTCTCTTTTTCCTCAAAGCATAAACATCGAGACATGCAAGACCAAAGCTCCATAGCAGTTGAAGCCCCATAGATGCAATCAAATAACTGAAACAGAGAAATAAAGAACATCAAAGCCGCATCAAATCAAAATTATTGCAGTGCATTTCTACTCTACTTTAACCATCCTTTCCACCCCATCAAACCTAAACATTTTCCCCCTTTCCCAGGAATATAGAAGTAGAACTATAAGATTCCACAGGAGAAAAGCTTAAATGCTATCTTACATCTAGTCAAAACAGCAGTTTTCAACATTTTCACAATAGAAACTCACACTTTGTGAGACTTCAAAAATGAACTAGAACAAGTTCCAACACTGTAGCATATTTGAATTGAGACTTCAGTCATGAATAACAGAAGACACAATACTTCTAGGCAACTATGTACTCAAAGTTCATTCAAACCTATATTATGCCTCTGTCTTGTGTGTCATTGACACAAACAAATGGCTCTGTCAAAGACTCACTATAAGCAAAAACAAGTCTTAAAACAAAGTGACTGCACCATTCATTCATATTAGCAGAAAAGTTGCACAGAAATCAATTCATTTTTCCTGCTGTGCTGTTAACCCCAACATAATCACTCAGTTGAAAACAAAATTTTGCTATTACAAAAACGATAAAAAGCACGCTTCAAACAACCAACTTTCAAATATTTACCTAGATACCACAGTGACAATATTATCAGCGTGTAGATGTTTCCTTCTGCTTAACCAAGTAAGTTACAACCAATTTGCACAACTTCATATTCAACTTAAAATACAGTTTAAATCACACCTTCTAATACCTTATGTCCTTATCCAATAGTATTGCAAATTGAAGTCAGCAATTCTCATTCATTTCCATTTTATAAGAAAAAAACAAAAAACTCAATATTTAGAAATGAAACCCTCTTCAAACTAGGGCCCAAAATTGATCGAAACTTTTTTTTTTTTTGATATACGATCGAAACTTAAAAGACTAAAACGGGTCCTCTTTTTACCCAATAAATTCAAACCAGAAAACCCAAAGTAGCAAATTCCAGTTGCATGATTCATATAACTGTTATTACTTTTTACAAATTTGTACCAACAAGCTGACTAACAAATTATGCTCCCCAGCTGACTAAAAGTAATCTGATTCAAAGACGTCATTTTTACTAAAATTTAGTTGATCTAAAAGGTAAAATTTGAGAGCAAACCGAACGAAGGGGAAAAGGAAAAACAGAAGTACCAGAAAGCAGTGTAGGAAGAGAAATCAGAGGCAGAGACCATGACTGCAATGGAAGCAGCTGCAAATGCACATTGATATACCCTTAACATTAACCCACTTATCGTCCCTGGACTTCCAATAAACACTTTCATCCTCTTCCTTCAAGCTAAGAGCAGGGTACCCACTATTCCCTTAATTCAAAGTATCCTCCTTCCACAAGAAAAAGGATAAAATCTGGAATCTTAAACCGCTTCTTCCATTAATGACAACCCAAATCCAGTGTCCAAATCAGCTCCTTTTTGGTTCCATCAAGAAAAAGAATTGACAAATGGAAGTGGGGATTTGGAGATCCGGAGTTCGAACCTTTTTCAGCTAAAAACTTAAAAAGCGTCGGATTTAAGAAATACCCTGAAATTATGATCAGTTTAGCATAACATAATTTATATAAATTGATGTTTTTGATTTGATTAACGAAGGAAATAAAGAGAGAGAAAGCTCTGTCACTTCAGTTGGGTTGATGAGTGTAATTATATACTATGTGGATTTTTTTCAATCGAGTAAATTATATATTTAATTACTCAATTATTATTAGATTTTTATAGAAATTAGTTAATTTTATTAAAAATAAAAATATAAAAAGTTACATTAAAAATTTACAAGTATAATCGTAAACCTAAAAATATAATTATAATATTTTTTTATCATCATTAATATAAAAACTAATCATCTAAATCATATAAGGACCAATAAAGGAATCTAACTAAAAACTCAAAAAAATAAAGATACGAACAAATCTGACTGCATTAGTAAACGAACCACAAAGAGGATGGAGCTATTGAAAGACTACCGACAAATCGCAAAGCAAAGTCAAGCGACGTGAGAAAATTACATATGAACGCAAAACGCGTATCTAAATCAATATAAGGGTCCAAAGCATTGAAAATCATCATTATAATGAATAAGTGTCATTTTTATCAGTCGTGGCGATGTCAAATCCAATCCTGAGAAAAAATATAAACAAAAACAACAAAAATCGTAAACAACGACAAAAAATTGTAAGCTACCAAAAGACAGAGAAAAATATATTACAAAGACAGAGATTAATGTGCCACGTAAAGATAGAAAACATGTCACAAAGATATAATTATTCTTGTTAAAAAATAAAGAAATAAAAAGATAACCGACGGGAAATAACTAAAATTAAAACTAGTGTTGTTGTCGGTTAAATAAAATTAAAAAAGAAAAAATTAGATTAATCAATAAAATTTACATATGCTATAAAGAAAAGAAAAAAAGGGAAAAGAGAAGATGAGTATTAGAATTTTATTTTAATTATTTAATGTTTTAAAATATTATTATTAAATTTACGTTTTCTAATACGATCACTCGACACTTGTTAATAAAATAAAGTAGTAAAATTGATATGTCATCATAAGATAATTTTTTAAATTGAATACTACCTTATAAATTAGGCTTAATTATAAAATAAATGTCTAAACTATAGTGTTTTTCACGAATATGGGCTTAAATTATTTTTTTGAATGATCCATGTGTTTAATGTTACAAACATTATCATTTTAGGTGTATTGGTTGTAACACTGTTAGTTTTATCCGTTACGTAACACGTGTCACATTCTGATAATTTTAAAATTTATTTTAAAAAATAAAAAATATTATTATATTTATAAAAAATCATAATTTCTCTTAAATTGTAAAAAAAAAACTAAATTCCTAAAAATCCTAAATTCCTAATCCTAACCTGTCGTCGCTGTCCTTTTCGGCCACGATCACCGTCGTTGATGTAGTCCTTACAATCCTCCTAGTCATACGTCACCGTAATTGTCACCAATTGTCCGTCGAAACTGTGTGGGATCGCGATTTTCATCTTAGGATTCAGGGGTACAAAACATCGATTGGTCGTTAATCGGTTGTGATTTCATAGGGTTATTAATCATCGGGGAGGTGAGGTTGGGTGAAGCTTCGTTGACGGTAAAGGACAGCAATTGTCGTGGGTTTAAGGGTTAAAATGAAGGTTTTCAAAAGTTTAGGGATATTTAAAAATGTGTGTGTGTTTTTTAAATACGATTTTAATTTTTTAATTTTAAATAAAATTCTAAGATTACTAGAAAGTTACACGTGTCACTTAACAGGAGAAATTAATAATGTTTACAGTCTAGGTATCTAATGTGGTAATGTTTGTAACGTTAGACACGTCAATTATTTAAAAATTAATTTAAACACCTATTTATGAAGAAAAAAAACTATAATTTAAGCACTTATTTTATGATTAAGCCTATAAATTATAATCACACATACTAATAGAGTTCACAATGTT